TTTTTAGTATGTGATTTATAATCGATGAACAACTTAAGTTTTAGTTTTCTCACTGTAAAAGAATATTAATGCTTGCCTCGCCTGTTTCATAGCCTTGATGTGAGTTAAAAATGAAACAAGTATATGTTAAAGTGCTTTAGAAACTTAAAATGCTATACAGTTCTATAGGCTTTGGTTAGTAGTCAGGTGTTTAGTAAAGCCATTTTCTTTGTGTAGAGTATATAAAGCTTACTAAATCAGAATGCTCCAAACAAGAAGGTACAAAGGATTCTGGTGTTTTAGAACCATGATGTTTGGGTGCCTTATGTCTCTGAGTCTTTATTTTGTATCTGGAAAGGTTTCTTTACAAGTCAGGAGTGTGTTTTAATAAGTATTGCTGCTGACATTAGCACCGGAAATTATTTAAAACATTGACAATGGGAATAATTAAGGGAAAATGTATGGGAAGAAGTCTACCTAGAAACAAAGTAAAGTGAACTTTCTGTGGTTTAAATTTGGCATGAGACAGCAGGAATTCTACATTCTCATGTGTGGCTTTCGCTAGTTTACTTCTCGTAACTTGAAAACTAAACTTCATATTTACTTTTTTTTTTTTTACAACAGGCTGTTGTTTTGGTTTTATTTAGGCCTTATTGGTGAGGTGAAAACCACTTATTGCAGCATTAACCATTCTAATGTGGCATTTAGCACATTCACAATGTTGTGCGGCCATTGCCTCTGTCGAGTTCGTTTAGTTTGAGAATGAATCGTAAATATTGCTGCACATGGAATTTCAGATATCGCCTCTCCTGAGAGTGATCATGCAAGCAGTTTATCCAAGAAAGTCCACATTTATCTCTGATATCCCAGCATCCTGTCCAGTGTCCCATTTCCACAGAAGAAATGAGTCCCCATTGGAATCACAAATAGAAGGTCAGCACATACCTGCCCCATTCCAGATAGAATCCTCCATGTTTCATTATCCACCTGATCTGGTCGGGGATGATGCTTAGCAGGACTCTAACGAGCATGATCAGATCACTCATGGTAGTTTTTGCACTATATACCCAGTATCATTGCCAGACTATGCAACAGATTGTTCAGAGAATGATGACAATGAATGAAAAGATCATGATCTATGTGATATTAACTCTTCCAGTTTAATGCACAATGTCTGCTCATTCTCAATTGCCTAGTGCCACCTTCATATCCTTATTTCTCAGGCTGAGATGAGGGGGTTCATGGTGGGTGGCAGCATGGTATAGTAAACAGAAACTAGCAAGCCCCAGAGTGATGGAGATTTGGGTAAAGGATTCAAATAGGCAAAAAACCCAGAAGGGAGAAACAGTCACAACAATGAGGTGAGGCAGGCAGGTTGAGAAAGCTTTGCACCTGCCTTCTCTGGAGGGCATCCTCAGCACAGTGGAGAAGATGTGGATTTAAGAAATATCAATAAAGAAAAATCTAACACTAGGCTGAGTCCAATGACTACCAGTTCCCCAGTGTTATAAGAGCAGGCAAGAGAGAGCAGCTGTGGGACATCACAGAAGAACTGATGAACTTCAGGAGACCCACACATGGCTATGGAAAAGGTGGCAGCTGTGTGCAGAATTGCATTGAGACCCCCACTGGCCCATGAAGAGGCGGCCATCTGCACACAGGCTCCATGGTTCATGATGATGTCGTATCTGAGCAGGTGGCAGATGGCCATGTAGTGGTCATAGGACATGACCGTGAGTAGCGCTACTTCTGTAGTGGCTGAGAGGAAGAAGAAAAACACCTGTGACATGCATTCCAGAAATGAAATGGTGTTGCTCGTCAGAGAGTTCGTGATGGCTTTGGGGGCAGTGATGGAAATGAGGCAGAGATCCAGAAAGGACAAGTTCTTGAGGAAGAAGTACATCGGGGTGTGTAGCCTAGGGTCCTCGGTGGTGAGTATGATGATGAGCGGGTTCCCCAGGAGGGCTGTCATGTAGATCAGCAGAAAGAGTACAGCATGTAAGATCTGGATCTCCTGGATATCAGAGAACCCCATGAGAGAGAATGTGTTCCCGAAGGTGAAGTTGACCATTTTTTGATGTTTAATCACTTGCTCTACAGTTTTAAGACTAATAAGTTCTCGGAATCTAATGACCAGCATGGTGATGATACTTTAATACACCGTGTTGTTCATCTGAAAGGTGAGAAGTGTAGATATCTGACTAGGGTTGCAAAGTGAGGTAGGAGGCAGAAAAAGATTCAGAGCTAGGATGGTATGACATTTACCAGATTCTCTCAGCTGTAGAACATGATCTTATGCAAAGGTCGCCTGGACAGAGTGCACTCAGAACCAGGAATTCCTGCCCATGCTTCTGAACTCTTTTTAAGGTATTCTCCTTTGATTAAGTAAATACCCTGATGATTAGCGATGTCGAGTATCTCTTCATGTGCCTATTAACTATCTGTATTTCTTGTTTGGAGAAATGTCTGCTCAGGTCTTCATTTGCAGCAACATGGATGGAGCTAGAGGGTACTGTGCCCAGTGAAATAAGCCAGGCAGAGAAAGACAAGCATCAAATGACTTCACTCATCTGTAAAATATGTTTCCAGACCTTGTCGTCGTTGTTCCAAGACTTTTGGGACCCAGTTCCTAACATGTTTAGAAGGGATTTCTGGAGTTTTTATACATTTCTTAAGCTGGCCGTGGCCACCGATCCAGGAACGCCAGGACTGTCCGTGGACGAGGCTCACTGCTGACCCGCCGGGGTCAGCCTGAGAGGCAGGCATCTGAGCCAGGACTCGCCCGGGGCCGCCCATGTTTACTTTTGATCTCTTAAGTTTGGTTGGTGCTTCAGACTGACTTATGCTTAGCTCTTTTCCACTTTATTTATTTCCTCATGACAGACAGGTATGTTTTTATCAAATGTAGGGAGTCTGTCATGTGTTAGTAAAAAAAAAAAGTTCACATTGTGCTTTTCTTAGCATTCTAGATTCCTTTAGCATTTCCATTATTTTTCCCTTGCTTATAGTCAGTCCTGGGTTTCTATTTATGATTTCTCTATGATGAGAATGACAGAAGAAAGTCATGTCATTGAGCTGATTGTTCCACTACTGATACGTGCTGCTTGGTCTAATTGGGCCCTTGACGTAGTTAATTACCATGAATATTTCATTGGATATTGACTCTTACTCATTCTCCAGGCAGAGAAATGCCTGGTATTGTTTTTTTTTTTTTGTACTCTTACTCATTTATTCAAATATATTTGAGTGTCTAGTATGTGCTGGCCAACTTGCTAATGAGTAGAAAATTTTAAGAGGGAGACAGTAACAGTGTCAAATATCAAATACAGTACATTGGTACAGAAAAATAAAGACAGAACAAGTGTTCATTTGATTTCGTGATGAAGAAGTTGTGGTGACAGAGCAGTTTCAGTAGGCGTTTAAGAATGGAATCCCCCTTACAGTTGGTGGCAGAGTAAATGGTAGGTGATAAAGGAAAAAGGGAGAGGACAGAGAGGGGAGGAGGAGGGAGTGAGGGAGTGAAAGAGGAAATAATGGAGAAGTGAAAGGTAGAAAAGGGAAGGAAGAGAAGAGAGGGAGAGTTGGGAAGGAGGAAGAGAATAAGAAGGGGGAAGAGGGAAAGAGGGAGGGAAGAAGAACGAGAAAAAGAGAATAACATCTCTTTGATGAAGGTTTGCTGAGAAGAGGAAGAAGCGACTGGGTGGGAACCAGGAAAGGACTTTCTTTTTAGGTTTAGGTTAAACCTGACCTTGTACATGTGCTGAGGGGTTAAATGTGCTAATAGGGGAAGAGAGGTTGGAGATTGAAGATGTGGTATGGCTGATAGAACAGGTGTTGAAGGAGATAGGAAGTGGGTGGGAGTCACAGTGTGGGTCAAGGGTCTAGGTGGATGGGCTGGCTCTGAACAGAATGAAGGATGCCTGAAATAATAGGTAAAGAGAGTTATGAATATAGATAAGGTTATAGGTAGGAATATGGGGTGGAGGGAGGGTGTGCCTGATAACTTATCTCTGTAAGATTAGAAGCAAGGTTATTGGTTCTGAGTGAAGGTCCTGGGCAGGAGATGATGACGGTGGGGGGTTACCTAGAAACAAAGTAAAGTGAACTTTCTGTGGTTTAAATTTGGCATGAGACAGCAGGAATTCTACATTCTCATGTGTGGCTTTCGCTAGTTTACTTCTCGTAACTTGAAAACTAAACTTCATATTTACTTTTTTTTTTTTTACAACAGGCTGTTGTTTTGGTTTTATTTAGGCCTTATTGGTGAGGTGAAAACCACTTATTGCAGCATTAACCATTCTAATGTGGCATTTAGCACATTCACAATGTTGTGCGGCCATTGCCTCTGTCGAGTTCGTTTAGTTTGAGAATGAATCGTAAATATTGCTGCACATGGAATTTCAGATATCGCCTCTCCTGAGAGTGATCATGCAAGCAGTTTATCCAAGAAAGTCCACATTTATCTCTGATATCCCAGCATTCTGTCCAGTGTCCCATTTCCACAGAAGAAATGAGTCCCCATTGGAATCACAAATAGAAGGTCAGCACATACCTGCCCCATTCCAGGTAGAATCCTCAATGTTTCATTATCCACCTGATCTGGTCGGGGATGATGCTTAGCAGGACTCTAACGAGCATGATCAGATCACTCATGGTAGTTTTTGCACTATATACCCAGTATCATTGCCAGACTATGCAACAGATTGTTCAGAGAATGATGACAATGAATGAAAAGATCATGATCTATGTGATATTAACTCTTCCAGTTTAATGCACAATGTCTGCTCATTCTCAATTGCCTAGTGCCACCTTCATATCCTTATTTCTCAGGCTGAGATGAGGGGGTTCATGGTGGGTGGCAGCATGGTATAGTAAACAGAAACTAGCAAGCCCCAGAGTGATGGAGATTTGGGTAAAGGATTCAAATAGGCAAAAAACCCAGAAGGGAGAAACAGTCACAACAATGAGGTGAGGCAGGCAGGTTGAGAAAGCTTTGCACCTGCCTTCTCTGGAGGGCATCCTCAGCACAGTGGAGAAGATGTGGATTTAAGAAATATCAATAAAGAAAAATCTAACACTAGGCTGAGTCCAATGACTACCAGTTCCCCAGTGTTATAAGAGCAGGCAAGAGAGAGCAGCTGTGGGACATCACAGAAGAACTGATGAACTTCAGGAGACCCACACATGGCTATGGAAAAGGTGGCAGCTGTGTGCAGAATTGCATTGAGACCCCCACTGGCCCATGAAGAGGCGGCCATCTGCACACAGGCTCCATGGTTCATGATGATGTCGTATCTGAGCAGGTGGCAGATGGCCATGTAGTGGTCATAGGACATGACCGTGAGTAGCGCTACTTCTGTAGTGGCTGAGAGGAAGAAGAAAAACACCTGTGACATGCATTCCAGAAATGAAATGGTGTTGCTCGTCAGAGAGTTCGTGATGGCTTTGGGGGCAGTGATGGAAATGAGGCAGAGATCCAGAAAGGACAAGTTCTTGAGGAAGAAGTACATCGGGGTGTGTAGCCTAGGGTCCTCGGTGGTGAGTATGATGATGAGCGGGTTCCCCAGGAGGGCTGTCATGTAGATCAGCAGAAAGAGTACAGCATGTAAGATCTGGATCTCCTGGATATCAGAGAACCCCATGAGAGAGAATGTGTTCCCGAAGGTGAAGTTGACCATTTTTTGATGTTTAATCACTTGCTCTACAGTTTTAAGACTAATAAGTTCTCGGAATCTAATGACCAGCATGGTGATGATACTTTAATACACCGTGTTGTTCATCTGAAAGGTGAGAAGTGTAGATATCTGACTAGGGTTGCAAAGTGAGGTAGGAGGCAGAAAAAGATTCAGAGCTAGGATGGTATGACATTTACCAGATTCTCTCAGCTGTAGAACATGATCTTATGCAAAGGTCGCCTGGACAGAGTGCACTCAGAACCAGGAATTCCTGCCCATGCTTCTGAACTCTTTTTAAGGTATTCTCCTTTGATTAAGTAAATACCCTGATGATTAGCGATGTTGAGTATCTCTTCATGTGCCTATTAACTATCTGTATTTCTTGTTTGGAGAAATGTCTGCTCAGGTCTTCATTTGCAGCAACATGGATGGAGCTAGAGGGTACTGTGCCCAGTGAAATAAGCCAGGCAGAGAAAGACAAGCATCAAATGACTTCACTCATCTGTAAAATATGTTTCCAGACCTTGTCGTCGTTGTTCCAAGACTTTTGGGACCCAGTTCCTAACATGTTTAGAAGGGATTTCTGGAGTTTTTATACATTTCTTAAGCTGGCCGTGGCCACCGATCCAGGAACGCCAGGACTGTCCGTGGACGAGGCTCACTGCTGACCCGCCGGGGTCAGCCTGAGAGGCAGGCATCTGAGCCAGGACTCGCCCGGGGCCGCCCATGTTTACTTTTGATCTCTTAAGTTTGGTTGGTGCTTCAGACTGACTTATGC